CACACACACACACACACACACACACACACACACACACACACACACACACACACATTCTGAAAATCCTTCCAGGCGTTGGGATCGCTGTTGTTTTGCGCATGGCTCACTGTCAGCTATTGTTTTTTTCTTCTTTCTGCAGCCCATGTCTTAAGAAGTTACCACCAGCAACACCCCTGCCCCCGAAAAACCTAAGATTTATCATTCTGCACAATTTAATTATTAGAACAGATATTGGTTTTAAAATTAAAAGCACATGCAGAAGTAGATTATTCTTTGATCATGACTTAAATCATAAAAAAGGCAGAGTTCTGAAGCAGGGAAAGCTGCTTGTCCCGACAGTCACCCCAGCTTCCCTGCAGCAGCAAAATCTGTGTAAATGAGCCAAGGACAACATCTCTTAAGAAGACAGATTGCTGTTTTCACTTGTTGGACCCAAAGCCAGACCTTAATGCACGCTAATTTCTGGATTTTCTCAATTATCAGCTTCTCTTGGCTTTAACTTAAAAATAAGACAGAATGTATTCATGTAGCTGTTTGATGCACACACAATGACATGATTGGTTAATCTGTGGTTAAATGCATTTTAGAGATACATAAAGACTGAAAATACGCCACTCATCCAGAATAGATGGAGGAGTTTGGAGCTGGAGGTCTTCCAGCGAGGCCCCTGAGACAGTAGGAGGTGTTTGGTTGCACATATCACCGGCACTGCTGCTTGTGGTCTCCCTTTATTAAGCTGCTCACAGAAGCACAACCTGCTGTGCAGTGAGGCAAACACAGCACTGATATCCTTTTTTTTGAATGGAAACTGCTGCAACCCTGTTTATTGATTTATTATTTTTTCCTAAAACAATCTTGTAATTTAGAGTTTAGTTGTGAAATCTGGAATGAATGAAGTGCGCAGGACTCTTGAACGAGACATTTTAGCCATTTTGTTGGTTTAAGCGTGCGCGTTTTGAGGGACAAAATCAATCTTTTGACCAGTTAATCTTGCTCCTGATGTCAGCAAGACATCAGGAGCAAGCAACATATAAGCAACATGTAAAAATAATAAAGAAAGGCAGGCATTTTATTATGGAATACAGTATATATGCTGGTACAAAGCCCCGCCTACTTGTACATAGCTCCTCTCTGGAGATCACTCTGCAGCCGAGCTCCTGCCCACAGAGCATGCCTCCCCCAAAGCATTGGCGTGAAGACGTTCTGAAGTGGGAGTGTCTGAAACGGTAGGAGGTTCTTAAAGAGACAGAAGCCAATTTCAATGTGTTTAACCAGGATACAAAGACAAATTTATTTAAATTTTCACAACAACCGAAGGTAACGTGGTAGAGAATTCAACTATGTGTCAGGAAAATCTATAATACCCCCAGTTCAATATTACAAAAATTTGGTTGAGTTGTAGCTTTTATTTTCCTGATTGGTCAATTGGCTTTTGAGACAAGTTGAATGATGCCCACATGGGACATATGGTGCTATCTATCTGTGGACAATTTCTTGGTAAGGTTTTAAATTGGTAACTAATTCTAATTTAATATTGAAATCAGGGTTCAACAAGATTTTTTTTACCTGCTCTGTCGGGCAGGTGACGGAAAATGTTACCTGCCCAAAACAAAAATGTTCAAAATTTGATAAAATAAGAAAAACATGTACTGTACTTTGTGCTACAAACATATTGACATGGTTACACAGAGGCACATAACATATGACATCTGATTTAGCAGATGCAAAGAATGCAGACTGAGTCACTCACAGTCAGTCAATTGTGTCATCAAAAACTTTTTTTAGACCTTTTCAGTGATTCCTCTAGAGTACTGACCTTGGGAGGGCTGCTTACAAAAACAGAATGATCAACAGCAGCAGCTTTGTTTTAAATACAATTTACAGAACATGAAAGTCTGCAGTTTGCATTAATTGAATCTTATATAGTCCATCTCATATCTAAAGATAAGATAAGATAAGATAAGATAAGATAAGATAAGATAAGATAAGATAAGTCTTTGTCACTGTTGCACTGAAAAGAACACTGCAGTCCACAGACAATGAACAAAATATACATTTAAAATATCTTGAACTGGAGTCTCCAGACAACCTAATGATAAATCTGATGTTATTTATACTAGTCAGTAT